ATTGGGCCAAAGGTTAGTGTCCATTTTTCCCTCCCTCAGGTGCTGCCATCATGGCCCCATTGCAACTTGCGTACTCAAGGCTCTAATGGCTGGCTCAGCACCATGATTGAAAGGAAGGGGATTCAACTAGAAGGACACCTACTGGTGATGGACTATCAACATTACTTCCAGATCGGCAACCCATAAAACCAAATAGTAGGGAAAGAAGGGACTAAGCAGTCCATTGAAATCGCCAATTGTGAGGAAAATGACACTCAACAGAGACTCACCTCAGCAGCAAAGCTAACCACAATCTCGGGGTGAGCAGCACGCCAAGCAAGAACTGCACGAATGAACTCGCTCTCCCACGCTCTCGCCATCAGCACTGTCGGCGACTCATGATCCACAGAGTTCTTCACCAAAATCGTGATCACCACTGCCGTCGCTTGCATGTAGTCATCGTCTGAAATGCATGAGGCAGTTGAAACTCGTATTACAAAGTGTAAGAACCTCCAATTTACAAAAAAAGATGCAATTGATACAGTCGAGATGAATCAGAAGAATTCCACCTCTTACTGATGATGTTTCAAACTAATCTGAAGTATCAACGAGTTGTCACGAGAGGTGGGTTTGTATACGCGGAAGTTTTGACAACTTTGACATGTAGAACTCAATGCTCATCGAGGGTCTACGGACTGACAATCAGATTCACCGAAACACGTGCGACCGAACGAATTACTTTACCCGATTTCAGCTCGCAACGAACAGTTCAGACAGAAAAAAAATGCCTCCTTTCACTTGGTCGAAGTTGGAGGGAAGAAAATGAAACTCGAGTTACGGAAGCCGATGGAGAGCAAACCATCAGCTTTTCTGACAATGACGAAACTGCTAGAAACCCGAAAATGTAGTTTTCATGCCTTACACGACCAAATGTGTGACCACACGACATCTACAGGGCTGACCTTTGGAGCCTGGTGATGTCAAATACAATACACCACATTATGTTCATGCAATTAAATGTGTACATTTGGAAGGTGAGTAGTCAAATTGTGGCGTTTGGACAGTCCACCGATTCATCTCCTCCACAGCAATGCAACACGTTCAATCAAGCTTTTCTTCACACCGATGTTAGATGAAAATGCGTTGGACTGCTTCCCTTGAGACACTCTACACAACCACACTACAGCATCAATTTTACCCTCACACACACACCTCTAGACGTTTCTTTTCTTTCCAGCATTAAGAGATGGGATGGAAAATAGTACTGCGGAGGCTCTACTGGTGAGGCATTTTGAGTTCTCAAAACACCAAAAACACATCCACTGCTATTCTAGCCGCCAATACTACTTTCCACGAGGTGGTGCGCGGATTTCCTTTCCCCTCCCTAGTTCTTTCCTTCCGCCCTCACCTTGAAGGCCACCGAAGACAACATTTCCAAACATCGGAGCACCGGTACGACCACGGCATCCACCCAGAGGACCTCTGTCCGCGGTTATGAGTTTGGTGCAGAATTTGAGGTGATCAAGGTAGTCCTTCCCCTCCACCTAAAAATACCACAACAAAGTCAGTCCGAAAGCGAGGAATTAAACAGATATGATCAGTAATTACTCCTCCCTTCTTTCTCCCGTCACATCGTTAAGTCTGTCATTCCGCCTTTAACACAATCACACACAGCAGTTGTTAATCTTGCCACAGAAATGGCACAGATTGCACGTCATGTGACTTCTGTAATGTCCAAGTCTGTCGGTTAAACGAGGCTACAGCCTGAGGCAATTCGAAAACACACAAGTTTGGGTGAGTTAATCTGCTCACATTTCAATAAACAACACATGAGCATTTGCTTCATGCAACAACAAAGAAGCCTTGTCAAGTTTTTGGCTATAACCCAAAATGTGCAAGTTGAGCGACAAATTTATGGTCTTAATACATTCCATTCCAGCAAGTAATGATTGGAGTGCAATCAATCAGATGACTGCCAAATACACCACATGCATGAAGGAAATGACTTTTACGCACCACAGTATCCAACAGCGTTGCATTGCTCTGAAAGTACTCCAATGGACTAAAGACACCACACTCGGACGACACCGGTTCCAGTGGCTTGTAGCAAATATCCTCCAGTACCACCTCACGATTCAACGCCTCACTGAAGGCTCGCACTCGAGTTGCTTTAACTTGCAGATCAAGCACCTACAAAGACGAATGATTGATTGAGGTCATGAAAGCACTCAACAACACCTCATTTACAACCTACCGCTTTTAGGAAGTCCTTTTCAAACACCGTTCCAAACTTGAGACCCTTGCGCACGTACGGCGT